TGGGGGGTGGGTGGGGAGAGGTTAATCAAAAAGCTTACATGCATATATGCATAACTCATAGACACAGACAATAGTGTGGAGAGGCCTGTGGGGGGGGGGTTAGATGTCGGGTGGAGGGGATCAATGGGAGGGTGAAGGGGAAACCTGTAATACTTTCAACAATAAAGATAAATTAAAGAACAAAAACACAGAACATAAAATCCGTAAGTGCTGGATTAATTTTAAGATGAAGATGGTGCGAAAGCAGTGAATCTTAGATGTTGACAGGGTTGATCACTCTATTGGCTCTTTAAATGTAATTCAAAACCTTAACTCACACCCACTCAGATTTCCTCTCTGCAGCAGTTTGGTCTCTGCCAAACGTTGGGTAATAAATAGAGTCTGCAAGCTCTCTGAACACAGAGCTGCAGCTTTTCATAGGAGAAATCAAAACAAGATCACGAGGTAAGAATGAAACCACTATTTTGAAAGATTTTTGTCAGGTTTTGCAAAATAAGGTCTTGGGAACCATGAAGAACTGTTTTATATTTATATAAAATAAATGAGGCTGATTTGCTATTATTATTGTAAATAGCAGTATAAGTTGATGATAGTTGCTGCCAACTTATAATTTCATTTTAATTTCCTTTGGGTGATTTGGAAAATTAACTAATTGCTAAAATAAGATTGTAATAATCTTTATAGTATATGTTCCCCTCCCCCGCCACAAAACTTCACAAAGGATGTTAATAATTCTATTTCATACTGCTAATGCTTATCCAAGACAAACTTACAATTGTTTAGGTGCCATCTCCTCAAAATCATCTGCTAAAAAATAAACCATTTGTGAAAAAAATAAGAAATTAATATCCTAACAAGGTAAATACAAAAGCTCATTAGTTTTGCTACTTTTCTTCATTTAAATTTTCCTTTAAAGTTTGTTTTGTTCTCTTTATTTCTTGCTGTCTGTCTCATGGCATTTTTTTCCTCCTTTCCTTTTCTCTGCCTTACCTTTCCATGCATGAATATATGCCTCCAGACTATTTTAATAATGAGGCAAAGCAAGGCAGAAGCAGTCACTACGAGTAACTGTTACTAATCACTGAACATGTACTAAATGTGAGACATTTCCCACATTATCCCATTTGATGCTTTTGGCACCTCTGTGACATAAATATTGTCTTTTCTATTTATAAAATTAAACAAGCGAGATTTGGAAAGATTGTACTAACCCAGAATGACATAATCAGTAAATTTTAGACCAGAGATTAAAACCCAGATGTAAGACCCGTGAAGGAGAAAGAACCATGAAGGAAGCTGTATTCCAAGCAACTTCATTTAGTGCATCTCTAATCCTCTTTGAGTAGCCATCATCTATTCAGTTTTCATCATTCTCAAGCTTAAAAATATTAGTGAGATGACATTAAAACCCAACACCTATTTTCTTTAGGGCTACATTCATTGCCATCTGAATGAAATGTCAGCCACCATGCTCATATGTAAGTGTCATTTGCCATTTCCATTGGTATTGCTGGAACCCAGAGGAGTCCACCTACAAAATTGGCTGGGTGCTTCACTTTTAATCAGCACACTAATCTACATCTAATTCCCCTTCACCTTATAAATTGGATGATCGTCACAATTTTCTCTAGTGCATCTGAGCTCTTTTGCAATTGTATGAATATTTTGCTCATTATGTCTCTTGGATTTCCTAGCAAAGATTTAATATTTTCTTTCTTCCTTTTTTTAATCCTCACCAAGAACATGCTTAGATTTGGGGGAGAGGGGGGGCGGACGTCACTGTGAGAACATTGATTGGTTGCCCTCTGTAATCGCCCCGACTGAGATTGAACCTAGAACCTTTTGGTGCACAGAACGACACTCAACCAACTGAGCCACTCCAACCAGGCTCAATATTGTCTTCAAGAGCTTGACAGAACTTTATAGTTTTTCATGTCTGCTGTGTTCAAATCTAAACCACTCTAACTTCTTAGCCTGCTGGCTCTGTCAATAGGCAGTTATTTAAGAAATGCTATAAAGAGGAGATTATATGCCTTTTCCCATCTACATAAGAATGCCCAAACCTGTAAATAATTTTTTATTGATTTGAGAGAGAGAGAAGAAAGAAACACCAATTTGTTGTTCCACTTATTTGTGCATTCATTGGTTGATTCTTGTTATTTGCCCTGACCCCAGTAAAGAATTTTTAGAAGAATTTATTTGAGCATGAAAACAATGCTGGGAAGCAAGATCTCAAATGCTCTTAAGAATGAGTTTTGCAATTTCCTTTATGCTTTTGGAATTAAGGAGGGAACATAAGGAAGATTACAGGAAGGTGGAAGAAAGCAAGTGGGGATTGAATTACAGGATAGTTAACAAGATTATGTGCTCTCCAGTAGTTAAGCTTCGAGAGGGGTATTACTTCTGGCATTTCAAAGGTGTGTTAACCTAGATGCACAAGAACTATGGACAAGGCTAGTTTAAAACCTTTCACTAAAGTTACAGGCCTTCCCAGCAGGGCATGGCTCAGCGGTTGAGCATCGACCTAGGATTCAGGAAATCAAGGTTCGATTCCCGGTCAGGGCACATGCCCGGGTTGTGGGCTCAGTCCTCAGTCGTGGGCGTGCAGGAGGCAGCTGAGCAATGACTCATCATTGATGTTCCTATCTTTCTCTCTCTCCCTCTCCCTTCCTCTCTCTGAAATCAATAAAGATATATTTATTTAAAAAAAATAAAAGAAGAAGAAGAAGAAGTTATAGAACTGGGTTGAGACTACCCACTATGACCTGCCCAGTTTGGAATTTATAATCACATCGCCCCATGAGGTTACTTTCGGTTACATTTATTATAGCTCCTTTTTTTTTGTCCACATCCCTGTGTTCTTTCATTTGGGGGCTTATTACACCCAAACATGAATTTTTTCTCTAACCTGAACTTATCAGTTCTAGTTTTCCCTCCTGAGTTTTTACTTTTTTCTATTATCTTTTATACATATATTGTATGTATTATTTGTCCACATTCTTTGGCAATCCTGTTTAAACAATACTTTATCAGTAGTCAACATGATTACTTCATAGCAGTAAATTGGTAGTAGTAGTATTGTTAGTTTCCTTGAGTGATATTTTTTTCTAATCTTTTTTAAAAAGCTTCAGTCACAGACATATGTGCCAACATTCATTCCAATGTAATCTGGTGGCTATCTTCAGCTTCCTCTTTTAAAAAATTTACTATGACTTGTATAAGATCCATAGTACCTGAATGTGTATGTAGCATTACTTTATCAAAAAGGGTGAGTATTTTTCTTCACTCTTCTCAAGTGCCATATGATTTGTGAAACCATAATTGCAATTGTCATTATGTGGTGGTTGTTTAATAGAATAAAGTAGATGTCATTAACTCAAAGGAGCATAAGTTGTTTTACTAAGAAATTTTGGAGGGTTCTATGCCTAGGATATGATGTGTAATGCTTACATCTGGCTGCCCAATTATTATTACCATTTATTTTGTCAAGTGGAAGGATTTCTCCTGAGTGCTATGAAGTCCATGAGATCAGGCTCAGTATTTAGAAGCATTAAAGTCATTTGCATTGAGATGTGCCAGTGGGGAGAAAATATTGTTCATAAATCCTTATATCTCTTAATTCATTATAGTATAAAAATTAGATAGAATTCCATTTCTTAGTAGCACACACACACACCCCTTTTTTTCTGGTTATTTGTGGCAAATGCTCCTAAAAGAGCACCTGTGTTTAGACTCATTTGTTCTCCCTACTATCTATCTAGGCAGGCACAACCTTGCAGTTACTACTATAACCTCTAGGGTTGCAGTTCATTGTTATTTCCAGATAACTTTTATACCTGTACTATGCAAGGCCTCTTAGCAAATGAAGGGACATGAGTTACATTCTTTTGCTCTGCATTGTTGGGTGTACTCACAAAGAGTAGAAAGCTTCCAAACTTAAATGTCTTCCATTTTTAAATGTCTTCTAAAAGTCAAATTCAATATTACCTAGTGCACGATGCAGTGTATTACTGGGTGGTGATCACATTTTTGGCTGTGAAAAAAAAATCTCATGGTCCATCCAGGGTTGTTCAAAATGTTTAATAGCTGGTATGGCATGAACATAGATAAATGAAAAAGGACCCAGTCGCATGGAACATGTGTCTATTTCTTGTCTGACCATTTTCTAGTCAATTTGAATCCAGTCACCTCAATTAATTCTTTTTTAAAAATATTTTAAAATTTTTTCAATTACAGTTGGTGTGCAATATTATATGTTTCAGGTGTACATCCCAGTAATTAGACATTTATATAACTTACGAAGTGATGACCCTGATAAATCTAGTACCCATCTGACACCATACGCAGTTATTACAATATTATTGACTATATTTCTTATGCTATACTTTATATCCCCATGATTAATCCATAACTGCCAATTTGTACTTCTTAATCTCTTTACCTTTTTCATCCATCCCCCAAGCCTCCTCCCATCTGAAAATGGCCAAATTGCTCTCTGTATCTGTGAGTCTGTTTTTGTTCTGCTGGTTCGAATATTTAGTTTTTCAGAATCCACAAATAAGTGAAGTCATATGGCATCTGTCTTTCCCTGTATGACTTATTTCACTCAGCACAATACCCTCTAGGTCCATGCATGTTGTTGGAGATGGCAAGATTTCATTCTTTTCTTCTTTTTTTTTATGGCTAAGCCATATTTATTGTATATATGCACCACTTCTTCATCCATTCACATATTGGTGAACACTTAGCTTCTTAGCTTGCTTCCATATCTTGGCTATTGTAAAGAATGCTGCAATGAATGTATATATGGATGCATATGTCCTTCCAATTTAGTGTTTTGGGTTTCCTCAGATAAATATCCTGAACTGGAATTGCTGGGTCCTTATTTGTCTCTTGTTATAGCCTTTGTTTTAAATTCTATTTGTCTGGTCTAAATATTGCCACCCCAGCTATTTTTGTTGTTGTTTTCATTTTCATTAAATATATTTTCCATTTCTTTACTTTCAATTTATGTGTGTCTTTCGATATGAAGTGAGTCTCTTGGTAGACTGCGTATGTTATGAATCTTATTTTCTTATACATTCATCCACCTTTTTGATTGGAGCATTTAATCCATTTGCATTTAAAGTAATTATTGATATGTATTTATTGTCATTTTATTATTCATAGTTTATATTTTATTTTTCTTCTTCTTAAAGAAAATCCTTTAATATTTCTTATAATACTGGTTTGGTGGTGATTAACTCCTTTAGCTTTTTCTTGTCTGGGAAGCCCTTTATCTGTCCTTAGATTCTAAATGATAGCTTTCCTGGGTAGAGTAATCTTGGTTGTAGGATCTTGCTTTTCATCACTTTGAATATTTTGTGCTAATCCCTTTTGGCCTGGAAAGTTTCTGTTGAGAAGTCAACTGACAGTCTTCTGGGAGCTTCCTTGTAGGTAATTAA